TCCAAACTCATATGGACTGAACTTATGCAATCTTAACTTCTTGCCACCTGGCAGTACAGGGCCTGCCATTGCTTCCAAGTTGTTATGCAACCAATTGAGAACTTTCAGAACTCCTATGCAAAGCCACTTTAACTGGAATGGGCACAGAATATGTCAACACGATAGGGTTAAAACCTCAAGTCGTGTGCTAGTGAAGAACCTCAGGTTTTATTCTTGATTAGTTCTTGAAATTCTTTTTAGGATCTTTAAGACTCCCACTATCCTCTTGACATATAAGACTATCTTGCCAAATATTCAAGAGATAGTGTGGATTCTTTATCAAGACAAACACTTCACACAATTGGCCTTAGTTGGTCTTGTTTTATCCCAAACATCACAACTTACCAATTTCAAATGTACAAGAGTAGGACACTTTACTCTTACATTTGACAAGTGTTTTAAACCTTTCTTTAAGATATGTCACTCAAGTTACAATCTTGGAGTATGACTCTAAGAATTGTTTTGGAACGAAGTATGACTCATCTTCCTGATCTAACCATTTCAACAATTCATGACTCCTCTTCTTAGTCATAAGAATGCACTAAGATGACCTTTAGAGGACTAATTGTGATATGATTTCTAAATCATTAAGATGATCACAAACATGATACTAAAGTACTCTCCCATCTTTTCAGATTTGAGAAACTTTTATCTTTCTGCCTAATTTGATTCTTCCCATTCGTTCTGCCATACATTGAGACTTTTCCAATGTTTCAGAATTATACTTAAACTTGTAAGTATAACCATATTTACTAAACTTTAGTAAATCAAATAGTCTTAACGAGCTTTGTGGTGGACATGACCAGTGCACAAGAATGTGTACTCGATCCCTTTAGTCCTTCACTTGACTCACACATCCATGTGAACAAGTAATTAGTCTTGATTTTCCAATGCTTGAAAGTTCTCATTCATCATACTATTCAACTTGCATGATTCCAAGTTTCGGTCCAATTGAAACTTGGGCGATGAGGAACTTTCCTGATTTGGTAAATTTAGACACTACCACAAATGAAAGAATCAAATCCATTTTCCAATATTGCTGTCAGTGGAATCATATAAGCAACAATTTTCCACAAATGCCATTGTAAGGATACTTCAAATAAATAAAATTAAACAATTTTCTTTTATTTTAAAACTTTGCGGAAAAACTTATCCTTACAATCCACATGGAAAATTGTTGTTATCTATTCCTTAGCAATATATCATAATCTTAAGCAACTGCTCAAATTCTGATGCGATCGAAATCCACCTTCGCGATCAGAATCAGCATATACTTCCTTTAAGATTTCTCTCTATTCTTTGATTCTTAAAACATCAACATGTGACCCAGTCACATCATGTAATGAGGATCTCAGAATAGAACTTAACAGAGTTAGATAATGGGCTCTACCTGATGTAGAGTCAAACTTATTGACTTTAACATCCTTAGGTAAATTTGGCAGCTTTGCAATCAACGCCCCTTCCTTTGGCAAAATAAACATATGGACCCTTTGGTAATGGGACTATCTCAGACTTAGCCTTTCTCTTTACCATTTGGTCAACCGGGTTGACTATGGCCAATCCTTTCCATTGGGAAGAGAATGCTTTTTCTGGATTTCCAGTGTCACCATTGTCACTGTCCATAAAGTTTTTGGGAAGTTGATCTTCTAATCAAATTTGCTTTACTATCGTTCCAAATCATTGCTGATTCAGCAGCACCAAGCAAATAGATATGATCATTAAGGTTCATGTCATAGTCTGTTTCATAGTAGTCCCAAAGGAACTCACTATGTGACTTAGAAAGTGATTGAACATCCAACTTTCTCAAGACTTTGACACCCAACTCTCCCGGCTTGTCAATATGTGACTTCATCTCTAAGATGTGATCACACATAGACCTTGCTTGCCATTAGGGCTTGAGTGACCTTGAACTTGTGGGTTAGGGAGAATAATTGGAGGAGGTGGAGGAAGAGAAGTATGACTTCCATGAGCCAAACTCGGGAAGTCATATTCATTAGGAAAGCTTGGTTTGGGAAGATCAGTGTTGTCTAAACCAGACATCAACAATGGGAGAAATTCACGTAAAGTTGATTTAAGTCCTTAATATAACACCCAATATGATATATTAAGGCTAGGACCCAACAAACTATTTTATAACTTGGAAGAGGGATGCCGTAATCCAAGCTATAAATATTTGAAGGTAGGTGAATGACGATTCACCAATTTCCACCAAGATAAACGAAATGTATTATTAGGTTTTAATTGGTTTTGAAACTCCTAGATTCTTTTGAGATTCATTGAACTTTTCAATGGCATGTTTCAATCTCGAGTGTGCCCTTCAGGTTTTGTGACTGGGATGCCGAGGATCACAAAACAAGGTGTGAAGTAACCATGCAAATATACTTGGTACCCTTAATATTTACCCCTCAATCGATGTGCCGGTTAACCACACACGCTCCAACGATACTATGATAAACATTAAGTTACCCTTTGCCTACCTTGTTAAGTCCAGGTTAGTGTGCCGGTTAACCACACACGCTCCACTAACAGCTTAAACAAAGTGCAAAGTGTAATTTCATGGATTAGCACCTTATTCACATTTCCTAAGTAACTAAGATTGGGAATTAATAACAGTTTAGTTACTTAGTATTTATCATTAATACTTAATGAAGGGAGAATTATAGTCTTGTCCTACCCGTTCGGCTAACGACCCTCCACCGGTCAAGGAAGCGGTGGGTGAGAGTGGACACCCATTAAACTGCCATTTTATAGGCCGTAACCTTATACCCCCCTTATAGACCGGCTTCGTGAATGATGCCTACTAATGGTAAGACGACTTTACTCTTATACATATATAATATTATTAACTTATAATATTATAAAGTATAAGGGTTGAATTTTAACTTTTAAAATTCAAAGGGCTTAACTTGGAATTAAAATATTCATAAGTGAAAACTTTACAAATTCCAAAACTTGAGGGCAAGTTTGAAACTATTCAAACTTTTCATTTCATAACTTATGAGTTTAATTAAGGTTTAATGAAAAAAAAATTCAAGTTCCATAACTTGAGGACAAGTTATGGAAGACATTAAATCATTTAATGATGACATTAAAAATAGTGACTTTCTATTTCATAACCTATAAGACTTAATGACACTTTAAAAGAAAAACTCTTCACTTTCCATAACTTGAGGACAAGTTATGGAGTTCATAAAAACCATTAAGATCAAATATTCAATTAACACAATATCAAATAATTTCTATGATCTAGATTAAACTCATAATAAAGATAATTCACATCAACAATTTTCAAGAATTTAGATAATCATATAAACTAATACAAATCTTGAAACTTTGACAATTATCCTTTGAAGACTCTTGGAATTCATAACCTAAAGAGTTAATAAATGAGACATTTCACATCCATAACTTTAGAATTTCAAAACTCTTAAGATCATAACTTCAAAAAAACTTTTGAGTTCCAAAATTTTATGACAAAATTTGTAACTCCTTAAAACATTTAGATCAAACTTTTAAAACAAAGAAAATAAATAATATATCATTCTATCTTTTAATAATTGACCTAATTCAACTCTTGTAGTAAAGTGACTCAAATTTTATAAATAATTAGTTTTTCATAAAATCAAGTAATTATCATAAAATTTGACAAACTTCATGTTTTTTTTCTTTTTTTTTCCTTCAACTTGAAAAAAAAATACATTTGCATCAATATAATAGAAAACAACCCATGGCTCTGATACCACTGTTAGGTTTTCAGCATTCTAACACTCCTATGGTGTACATGCAACCCTATAAACCTTGGATCTATGTTTTCTCTATTATACATGCAAATATTAAATATTCCAAGGTTTCATCCTAACTATAGCATATTATGAAGCACCTATACACAAGTTCTAGTTAGATGACATACCTTTTGATGTAGCTTGATGTCTTCAAGCTTTAAGAGCTTAGCCCCAATAGTTTGGAAGCCTCAAGTGGAATCACAAATCACCAAAACACCTTGGAAAGCCTTTAGAGAATATGGATCTTGGCCCACTATGAAATCGGTTATTGCCCTCTTAGGGTATCCCACTAGCCACTAACATAATTTCATGAACCATAAGACCCTTTATATAGTGTGGAGGATTAGGGTTAAACCCTAATACCCATGACCTTTCATTTCCTAGGCCATGGGTTAAAGCTCCATGGACTACCCATGAAGACTTAGCCCAAACTAAATGAACTTGGCCACTACCCACACACAAACCACACACAACATATATATCGCTATATATATATATATATTATTTATATATTATTATATATTATATATATATAATATATCATTATATATATATATCTAAGAGTCCATATTAATTAGTTCCTTTTGATCACTTAATTAATTATAAATTAATCTTGATCAATACTAATTAAATATTATTGATATATATTAATATATTAGAACTTATAATATATTAATATAAATCATAATATACTATTCTCAAAAGACTTCCATATAATTGTGTCGGTGAAGTGCAACCCAAATGGACCATGCTGGGTCGGGTCAAGTACATACCAAATATAGTTATGGACTTAGACATTAATCCAACAGTTTAGCGTGTAAGGAATTATAAGAAACAATTTCGAGGACAAAATCAAATTTAAGTGCGGGAGAGTTGTAACACCCCGTTTTAAATAGAATAATTAAATGGTTAGTGGGGTGTTGGTTTCGGGGTGCCAAATGATATACTTTTGATTTCCGAGGGTTAAAAGTGTAAATCTTTGACTTGATTTGTAAGGATTTTCAGACGGAGGGGTTAAATGGTAATTTTATGGATCTTCAATGAGAATAATTTGTAGAGGAGGGGTTGTTTTGTAACTGTTGGACTGGTATTGAAAAGAGTTATGGGAGCAAGGTTTTAAAGGGTAAATTAAGGATTGTTTTGTACGAAAATGGAGGAGGAGGGACTATTTCCGTCAATATGGCTCCTTGTTTGTATGGAACAGGTATAACTGTTCCATTGCTCATACCCTAAACTTAAATCATAAGCAGCCGTCAACCCCCCCCCCCCCCCCCCCTTGTGCCTCCCTCCAGCCGCCACGTTCGTTGAAGACATTCCCGTCGTTATTGAAGCCCGCCTCCGTCACCAATATCTCGCCATCGTAGCAGCACCACCATTGCCAGGAATGCAGCGTACTTCCGGGAAGTCCACCAGAAGCCAGTGGCGGAACGCGGAGCGAAGATGGGTCGTGAACCGTCGTTAGAAGCTGCTGTGACCGCCAAATCCAGCTGCCGCCGCTACACCACCGTCTGACGCCATTGACGCTCCAGTCGCCGGTGGAAACGAAGAGTCTCACGTTGAGACTGAATCTATGAGCCGCCGCCGGAGACCATCAGATGTGAGGTTGAATCGGTGTTGTGGTCGTGAGAAGGGCAGGTCGAACCTCTTGCTGTGGGTCTTAATGTCGCTGTCGCCGACGCCGACGCCATCGCTGCACCTGTTCCCGCCGTCAACCGTAGCAGTGGTCACTTGTGCTGCTGCTGCCGGAACCACCAGGTGGGTGGTTGGGTTATTTGTTCGATCAAGTGTGTGGGTGTGATTTTGCCACTAGAGAGCCTACCATAGAGAAGTTTGTTTGGCCGAAAACCATGGAAGACCACCATGGCTGCCAACCCTGGTGGTTAACGCCGCCTTTGCTGTTCTGCCACCACCAGCCGCCGCGTGGTGGTGGCTGTGTGTGCGTTTTGCTATGGATTTAGGTGTGTGTGGCTGTGTGTGCGTTATTTTGGTTTTCAACATTGTAATTGTAACCGGAATAATAATAGAAAAAACTCCAAACCACCACCGTGAAGTGGTGGTTGCCGCTTCCTGCCGCCACCGGCCACCGTGTCGGGTGGCGGTGTGCTTTGATTGTGTTTGGACCTCGTTTGCGATGATTGGACAACAATGGGCCCAATGAAACCCTAATGGGCCAATAAGGCCCAATGTGACCTGAAAACCTAACCAATGGACTAATGGGCTAGTATTGAGTTTGAAATAACCCTAATTAGGGTTTGGAAAACCCTAAGGGCATAAAACCCCAATTGTGGGAATTGTTTGGGATACACACACGAGAATTAATTATTAAACCTAAAATAATAATTAATAATCATTGGCAAACTAACTTAAGGCAATAATGGACTTAATGGATTAAGTCCTTAATGGGTTAAGTAAGAAACACTTAACCCTAATCATCATTTAATGTGAAATCCCTAATCTCACTCGGGCCTTGAATTGGGCCTTTCTATTGGGATTTGGCGATTGGACTATTGGTGGGCCATCTAAGAACAAGTTAATGGACCAAAGTAATTAGATGGGCTTTAGGGTAAGGCTCATGTGAGGACTTGGGCCCAATTTGGAAAATTGGGCCATCCGTTGGGCTTTGGCCCATTACTTGACTATTGGGTTGTTGTAGTGTGAGTTGGACCTTGGGCTTGGAACCCAATTATTAATTGGGTGTTGTTTGATGTTGACAGCTCGGGTATTTGTCAACCAGCAGCTAGGTTTTATCCGCGGGACTTCAGTAGTGTCAGGTGAGTTACCTCACTATACTAATGGGTCTAAGGCACCAAGGCCGGCCCATTAGATATGTTATCCTAGCAGTGTTAGATGTTGTGTAACATCCCAAAAATACAGGCCAAAAATTTCATTTTGATTAAGTTATAATATAAAACCATCAGTAATAAGACAATCATATTCATGTCTCATGTCAAACCAAAGTGTCAATAATCAAAACATGTTATCATAAAACCATATCAGAGTGTAATCCCAAAGATCTCATGTGCGGAAAACATAGTGTGATGCGTTGCGATCATGCCGGCTCCTTTCCTTTGAAAACGAGTACATGAAACCAAAACTGTAAACCGTAAGCACGAAGCTTAGTGAGTTCCCCTATAATGCCCATACCATACACATATAAGGAACAGCTAGGAGATACGGGCCCCGCCCACACTCATGGCGATACGGGCCTCGCCCACACGCCGCTAGCTGGGAGATACGGGCCTCGCCCACACTCCACTAACATACCATACACATATAAGGAACAGCTAGGAGATACGGGCCCCGCCCACACTCCACTATCTCTGAGATATGGGCCTCGCCCACACTCAGCTACTAAACCATAACATACAAGTATCACACAGACAACGAGTATAAACAATTCTATCATACGAGCATATATCATAATCAAGCTCAACTATGAGATACGGGCTCTGCCCACACTCCGATACTAACATATCGTCTATACGGGCCGACCTTGGTGCCTTAGACCCGTTCATACTGGAAGGAAACTCACCTCACATTGTTGAAGTCCCGTAGACACAATCCCACATTGCTGAAGTCCCGCAGACTCAACCCCAGCTGCTGGATGACAGATTCCAGAACTGTCAACACCAAAACATCACCCAATTAATAATTGGGTCCCAACACATAACCAATAGTACATTCTTTGGATAATTACTACATTACCCCAAGCTTGGCTCATTCAAGCCCAAGGCCCAATCCATAGGCCCAAAGTCAATTAGGAATCAAGCCCAACACATAGCCCAATTTTCCAAATTGGGCCCAGGCTTATACATGGTCTTATTCTAAGGCCCAACAGCATATAATCATTAGGGCCCAAACTATGGCCCATCTATGGCCCAATTTTCCAAATTGGGCCCAAACCCCTTACATGGTCCTTACCCTAGGCCCATTAAATTATTCTAGTCTAATTGCTTGACTTTGGATGGCCCATTAATAACCCAACCATCCAGGCCCAATAGAAAGGCCCAATAATAAATCCAAGTGAAATTAGGGTTTCACATAAAATGACGATTAGGGTTAAGTGTTCCTACTTAACCCATTAAGGACTTAATCCATTAAGTCCAATGTTGACTTAGGTTGATTGCAAATGATTATTAATTAATATTCTAAGTTCATTAATTAATTCCGATGCGATCCCGATAAATCCCAAATTAGGGTTTCATGGCATTAGGGTTTTCCAAACCCTAATTAGGGTTTCCAACCCATCTTAGCCCAATAGGCCCATTAGCTAAGTCCTTGAATCCATTAGGGTCCATTAAGCCCATTAGACACATGATTGGGATTTTATGTCCATTAAGCCTCATTGGGCCCATTAGGGTTTCAAGGCCCATTAGGGTTTTAGTCCCTTGACCAAACATCCCCAAACTACCAATCCCAACACAACTAAGCACACCGCCACCCGACACGGCGGCCGGTGGCGGCAGGAGGCGGCAGCCACCACCCTAAGGTGGTGGTTTTCAATTTCTTTTATTATACCAAGCTGTAATTTACATTTTACAATGCTAAATATCAAAATAACACACACTAACAAATAAACACACACACACACACAGCCACCTTTTGGTGGCCGGTGGCGGCAGAAGCGGTGGCAGCCACCATGGCTGGCGGCCATGGTGGGTATCCTTTCCATTTTCCGGCTATCAACACTACCCTCAACACACACACATGAGCTGGACACATGAAACACACCCCATATGATCACAAACGCAACTCCAGCCACCCCCCGGTGGCGGTTAGCGACGAAGCACCAAAGCACCAAGGAGGGCAGCAGCGGCGGAATGGCCGTTGAAACGGATGCAGCGGCGGCACGACGGCGATGGCTATAAGCTTATGGGCTCAACAACATCGAATATCCCTTCTTGATACGAGACCACCGTTCTAATCCATCGACTAGGCAGCAGGTGGCGTTGGAACGAGTTGAAATGGCGGCTGAGAGCCATTTCCGACGGCAACGACGGGTCATACGGGCGGCGGAACAACAACGCTACAATGGAGTGGCGGCATCCACCGGAAACTGCAACAACGACACCCCCGGGCGTGTTCCCTCTGACTGCCATCTGCCATGGCGCTCCATGGCGGCCTTCGTCTTCAGTAGCGACGATTCACATCTTCAGCGGAGTGGAACTATGCCGGTCATCTTGGTCCTTCGGTGGCTTGGTCGGTCGGAGAAACAAGGGAGAATTGGGTGGCGGCCGGCGGTTGGGAGGCATAAGGGGGAGGGGTGACGGCTGCTACATAAGGGAGGGTTTAAGGTTAGGGTTTGACTGATAATGAGGTTATATACCGGCTCCACTTAGAAGTTTGCCATAATGGCAACAATAGTCCCTCCATGCCCCCATTCTTTCAATGTAATCCAATATTTACCCTTTCAACCCAATCCATGGAAAACCCTTACAAATTAAGTCCCATAAATTACCAAACAACCCCCAATATCTTAATTATGACATAATCAGCCCTTCCACCTCATTTCCTTTTAAATTAAATTCAAATAATTACCACGGAGCCCCTGTCTTCATAAATATTTATAAAATGAGTCCCAAACTCACACTTTTAACCCCCGACTTCTAAAAATGTGGCAATTAACTCCTCGAACCTAACACCTTGCATATATAATTATTTATTTTAGGGCTTCAATTCGTTCATCAATTTATTTATTTAACTAATAAATAAACGGGTGTTACAACTCTCCCCCACTTAAATTAGATTTCGTCCTCGAAATTACTCCTTACTATTTCTTATATGCCAAACCACTTCTAGCAGCATGATCAATCTTCGCAAAGCCCTAATATCCTCATATGAATGAATTCCTCGCAGCAGGATCACATCTACTTCGTCTAAATCTACTATCTCGAGATGGTCTGATTCCCTGACAGACCACTCATACTGAATCATCATCGACGAATCCAGTCCGTTTATCCCTCGACCGACTACTCAACTTTTAATAGCTCGAAGCTCCCACTATAAAATAGGTTCACACACCTAATTATCCCTGCAGATCACTTATTCTTGGTCGAGGCTCAGCTAATCCCGCTGGGAGTGACTTGTCACTCCCCAAATCATCTAACTAGTCCACCCATACTCGCAACCTGAAACACGAATGCTAGCACTGCCCAATGCTGAAACTGCTTGAACACTGAACTGCCTGAGGCAGTATGTTGCGACATGGATGCTTTTCAAAATCTAACGAGACCTCCCTGGTCTCTATTCATTCACCAATCATCTGAAGTACCGGGTTTCGGCCCGACTGCGGAGCCAAGGGACTCCCACTTAGTCGCCTCACACGACTTCTGAATGAAATCCTTCTTTGGAACTAGTTGCCACTAGTTATCATGCCACTGTGACTCTAACAACTTATGATCTAACCGATCGGTTCCATGCGTCGAATCCTGACGTTACCAAACCCAAGGCTAAAAGTGATGGCTCCATGACCAACGTAGCCTTAAATCATACACGAACCTAAGCAATACATTGCTTCCCTGATCTCATAACTGCCGCGACGTTCCAACTGTCGTATCGTTGGCTCAACCAGATCTAATCCATTGGGTAATCCTAAAATCCAATCCGTGGATTTCCATACCCTCACTGCTGCACCCGAACTGGTGTGTACCATTGTTCCTTTCGCGTCAAAACAACGCACTCATGCTATCTACCAACCTAGTGAATGCTACAACTACACCCGCAGACTTACAACACTCTATCGCTATCTGGCTGCTAGTGAATGCTACGGCTACACCCGCAGACTTACGACACTCTAAA